GGACAGATGCGCCCACAGACCTTATCTGTTCCTCCTTCCAATTAGTTTAAATTATACACTTCAGTTGGGAACCTCATTGCTTCAACATTAACCCTCAGTCGAGGATTTTAACAGAAAACCAAGACTCGGTGTCGGGTCTTCTGCAAAGAGAAAGGACCTACTAACCACAGCAGACACCACAGGTTGGGGGCTGAGAGCATCAGTCACGCACAGACCCACCTGTGGCCCCGCAGGAAATGGGAGGTAAGCGGGCATCGCTGAGCGTGCTTGGCAGCCAGGTGAGTGCGACCTCAGTTCCTGGACCTCGGGGCCACCAGAGGGGTCGCGGGGACGAGCTCTTCACCAGCTGGTCTGGAGGCATTTCAAGGCTCCGGAGAGCCAGGGTGGTGTGCGGCTCCGTGCTTGACCAGGTGGTACTGTCAGCCCCGCTTCTCAGCTGAGGACACATCCTATCTGAGAGCAGTGTCTCTTCTCCTTTTGGAAAGGGCCAGGCTGAACTGCATTGGCCACGTTCACTTATGTAGTTAATATTCTTGGAGCACATGCTCAAATAAAATGCTATGAAACATGCTTTATAAACCAAAGCATCATCTACGTGGGTATTATTTTCCACCGTATAGTAAAAGCCCGTGTCTTCTTTCTCCTGATGTTTGTAAACACGGGCGCAGACCTTTCTGTTAGTGTCTTAAGGGAACTGCTAAGAAGTTCGTGCTCAGACACCTTGAGATCAGAAGCCGATTGGTTCTTGAGGGTAATATTTATTGGCAGAAAAGAACAAAAGCCCTGAGGGCAGTGTGCAGAAGTAAACTGGCCCTGTCGCACGGTTATTTCAGTGGCTCTCAGGTCAGCCTAAGGGTAGCATCACCACCCTCACCATGCAAGTCTCTCCCGGTGAAGACAGACGTCGTATGTCGAGCCCACTGACGCCCTGTCCTGTCGTGCTCCCTCACTTTACCTTGAAACGACTTACACAAAACAGGTTTGCCAACTGGCTCTGGTTTGGCTGTGGCAGCAGGCCACCCCGCCCCACACCAGGTGGCGCGTGGGCGTCCCACGGCCCTCGCACTGAGTGACTCAGAGCTCCTTTGTAAGATGCCCCACTCCTACCAGGTAATTATTAAGACCCGGCTGGCTCTGCCCTGGTCTCCGTGAGCAGAGCGCGTCATGAGAAGGCGGTACCACCGGCTGACCGGCGGCCCGCAGGCTGGAGCGCCGGGGAGCACTGGCGTCCGGCTCCTTCATGACGACTTTGGGCTAGTGACTTTCAGCAGAGGAAAGACGTGAGGATTGGCAGCGTGTTTCCGAGTTACTGTTTGTGGTTTCTGGTCAGCTGAGCCTGAGCCTCACACCCTGTCTCTCCCTCTGACTGTGCAGTTGCGGGGAGGAAAACTGGGAAGAAAGCTCTTGGGTAAGTTTCTGTCGTTCGGCAATTTCACAAATGCACCAGCTCAGTGGGTTAGTTTTTGGATTCGCCCACCTTCCAGCTTTCTACCTGGCATTTTGGAAAGACGAAACTCCACTTCCCTGTACACGCCTGTGTTACATCATGCTTTGTTGGGGGGGGCGCGTTTTGAGTTTCTAAAATAGTACGCGAAGTGGAAGGTCAAGGGCACTGACGTCTCTGTGAGGGAACCAGGCATTTCCCAAAGTCGCACTCGGCCCCCCAGGTCGCGGGAACACCATTTGGTACCAGCCCCAGAGATGCGACTGGGCAGACCACTTTAGGGGTGGGGGAGGTGCCTCTGCAGCGCCTCCCTTTGCGGCTGGGGCGCTGCCTTCCCAGCACCAGCCCTGCTGACCTTGTTCTGCTGTGACCTCTGTCCTGGGCATCACTGTAGGATCCAGCCCCACCCCAACCAGCTGCGAAAACCACAATTGTCCAGACTTGGCTCAGCGTCCTGAGGGGGTGGGTCTAGTGGACGGGGCACTTTGGTGGACCCCACAAGCACAGCCTTGGCTTTGTAGCCCTTGAACCAACGTAATCTGAGCAAGGCTTTTAAAAAACAAAACACAGCACTGGTTGTTATGGTGATGAGCTTGGCCAGCGGAGACGTAAGGATTCTGTGTGTGCCAAGAAGGGTGCAGCCTTTAGCTTCAAGAGCATCATTTGCAACAGAGCGAGCCCTGCCCTGGCCTGGCCAACACTCACGCCGCAGAAGCCTAGATGCAGAATAGACTTTAGACCAATCTCATCTCTTCATGTTTGTGGCTCGGAGGTTATTCGACCCCTCCAAGGTCACAAAGCTGGCAGGAGTAAAGTCTGGCAGGAAAGCAGGCCGAGACCCTGGCCCCAGCCTTTAGCACCTTCCAGGACGCTTGCATTCAAGCCATGGTCACCAGGTTTTGTGGTTCAAACTATGCTTTTCAGAAAAAGAAGTAGACACAATGAATACTTGCAGAATGACTCTGAGAAGACATGCTTTTTTACGATAAACGTTTTTCTTTCCAAGAAGCTTTCATTTTGCCACAGTTGTTAGGGAGAACAGTATCCGTGATAGCCCTCATTCAGGGGACTACAGAGACAGATGCAAGGCCCAGCGCCATGGGGGCTCGCAGTGGGGAGGGGAGACTGGGCTCACCCCGAATACCCCAGGGACGAGCAGGGACGATGGTGCAGGGTGTGTGTGGGGAGGGCGTGGGCAGGAAATTCCTACGAGGACACACCAAGGCCCGCGTTCTCGCCAGACAGCCTCGGCAGGATTCTTGCTGAACAGGCCATGGAGGGTGGGGGACGCGGAAGCTGATCAAATCCCTCCGGGGGGTTTTTGCTAAATCTGAACTGAATGTGCAGGGACAGACCTAGGGTCAGGCCTGGAGAGCTAAGAGGAGCCCGGCGGGAGGGAGCAGTCTTGGTCACAGCGGGCTGAAAGCCTGCTCCAGGACTTGCAGGAGTCCAGGGAGTGCTGTCCTGCTTTGGCCCGCTGTCCACGGAGGCTCCCGCGCTGTAAGCTGCCCTTTGGAAGCAGAGTGTGAGGCACTCCTCCTCCAGAGCCAGCCGTGCTGTCTTGGGGGGGGGGGAGCTGCGCCCGGGTTAAAGCTGGGGGAGTCCTCCGGGACTCAGTCACAGCCCTTAGAGCGAAATGGGCAGTGAAATCTTACCACCCCTCTGCTACCGTCTTTTAAAAATCTTTTTCTTCGTTAAACAAACGATGTGCATGTATTGCTTATGTGATCAGAGAAAGAGATGACGTCCCTGGCCACCTCCTCTAAAAAGCGCATTCCTACCCTGGGCTGTAGAATTCCACAGTCGGCCTCACCTTCAGCAGTTCTGGGAAGCGGGACAGGTCACTTCACCTCCCCTGCATGAAAATCCGAAAATCAGCCTAACTCCACTGTGAATGGAAACCTTCCTCCCAGTGTGCAGAAGAGACACAGCGACTGTTGCTGCTTTATTTTCAAAGGGCGTTGGTCATTTAAACATCTTATTTCACCCTCAGAGGAGCCCTGAGCGTAGGTAAGGCGTGGTGGTCTTCACCACTACCTGGAAGTGGAAAGAAAACAACGAAGTGTGTCTTGGGGTCTGTCGGATTTTTAATTCAATGCAGTAAAATTACTGGGTGTCCCTCACACAGCCGGCCGGCGGTGGACGCGGGCGGGGGCACAGAGGCGAGTTTCTGTTCGTCTGTTCTCCCAGCAGCTGTGCTGGTAACCAATGACCCAAGTGCTGGGGACAAGAGTGGCAAAACCGCGTCCTCCCCGACGCGGCTAGAGTCTGAGTCAGAGGACACAGGAAACGAGTCCAGGGTGAGAGTCTGGGGAGGGCGGGCAGCAGGGGGACATGTGAGCGTCACGGCCAGCTGTGCCCTCCACATTCACACCTGAGACCGGGGCTGCAGGCTACGCAGGGCCTCGGGGACTTGTCTCGGCTGGTGGATCAGCCCAGGACTGCCTGACTCCAAAGCCACGGTTCTTATGCCCGGGAGGCTGCTCCTGGCTCTCCAAGGCCTGGCGCCCTACACCCAGGGGTGAACCCCCAATCCTAGGCTGCGTCTTCCGGGGGCCACCTGGGGCAGGAGGCTGCGCTGGGGAGGCAGGCGGGGCCGAGGAGACTCGCCCCTTGCGCAGAACGCCCGCCTCCCCGGGAGGTGGTGGCAACACCGGCCCAACTCCTAAAGCGAGTCTCACAATTGAGACCACTTGCGAGGCAGCTGCGGCTCCGGGCGTCACGTGGACCCTCCGGGCGGATGGTTCTCATTTCACACAGTTCTGAGCCCAGGGTCGGCGGTCGGGTGGGGGTGGGGGGAACCGGCCCGCGGAGCCAGGCCACCTGCCCGCGACCGCAGGGCAGTGGGGAAGCGAAACCGCCCTCGACGGCTCCTTCGCAGACGCTGCGGCCTCGGGTGGCTCGGCCCAGGGACGCGGGCTGGGGCTGGAGAGCCGCATCCCCGCCGCGGGCAGCGCGGCCTCCGCGGGCCCTCAGGGGCCGGGCTGCGGGGGGCGCCGCGGGGTCCCAAGGGGCTCACTGGGGCGTGTCCGCGCCGCGGCGGGGGGCTCAGAGGCTCTGCCGGGCTGCGCTCCCCTCTCCCAGGCCGACACAGTCCCCGCGGGGCGAACCTGGGGTGTGAGGGGGGGCGCCCGGGCGGGCTCGGAGGAAGGCCGCGGAGGCGGGCCCGGCTCCCCCCTCGGCC